GACACTGCAGACAGACGCACGCGCATTACAAAAGAACGTTCTAAACAATCTTACGTAAACAATGACACTGCAGACAGACGCACGCGCATTACAACAGAATGTTCTAAGTAATCCTACGTAAACAATGACACCGCAGACAAACGCACGCGCATTACAAAAGAACGTTCTAACCAATCTTACGTAAACAATGGCACTGCAGACAAACGCACGCGGATTACAAAAGATCGTTCTAAACAATCTTACGTAAACAATGAAACTGCAGACAAACGCACGCGCATTACAATGGAAAATTTATAAACAATCCTACGTAAACAATGGCACTGCAGACAAACGCACGTGGATTACAAAAGAAAGTTCTAAACAATGTTACGTAAACAATGACACCGCAGACAAACGCACGCGCATTGCAAAAGAAAGTTCTAAACAATCTTACGTAAACAATGACACTGCAGACAGACGCACGCGCATTACAACAGAACGTTCTAAGCAATCTTATGTAAACAATGACACTGCAGACTGACGCACGCGGATTAAAAAAGAACGTTCTAAACAATCTTACGTAAACAATGACACTACAGACAGACGAACGAGCATTGCAAAAGAACGTTCGAAACAATCTTACGTAAAGAATGACACTACAGACAGACGAACGAGCATTACAATGGAACATTTATAAACAATCCTACGTAAACAATGACACCGCAGACAGACGCACGCGCATTACAATGGAACATTTATAAACAATCCTACGTAAACAATGGCACTGCAGACAAACGCACGCGGATTACAAAAGATCGTTCTAAACAACCTTACGTAAACAATGAAACTGCAGACAAACGCACGCGCATTACAATGGAAAATTTATAAACAATCCTACGTAAACAATGGCACTGCAGACAAACGCACGCGGATTACAAAAGAACGTTCAAAACAATGTTACGTAAACAATGACACTGCAGACAAACGCACGCGCATTGCAAAAGAACGTTCTAAACAATCTTACGTAAACAATGACACCGCAGACAGACGCACGCTTATTGCAAAAGAACGTTATAAACAATCTTACGTAAACAATGACACCGCAGACAGACGCACGCGCATTACAGAAGAACGTTCTAAACAATCTTACGTAAACAATGACACTGCAGACAGACGCAAGCGGATTACAAAAGAACGCTCTAAGCAATCCTACGTAAACAATGACACTGCAGACAAAAAACACGCGCACTTTAGAGCTTGCACGTGGGCTAGGACCTAAATCTAACCTACAAAACCAAGGAAAGCAGTAGCTAATACAAAACACTCAGCTAGCCAAACCAGAAATTACATCAAACAAACCCAAGCCAGATAAACAACACCAAAGTAGGAAATTACTAAATCTAATACTAATAAATAATTAAAACAAATAAAGGAAGGACATGAAAGCTACTGCCCCTGCAAGCAACCTTCAAAACTCCATCCACCTAACAATTATATTATATCAGCTGAAAGTACCACAGATACAAATAACACAAACTAACCNNNNTCAAACGGGAAGCGAAGACAGTATTTTTACTCGGATTTCAGGTAAGGCAGAAAAGAAACTAGAAAACATCAATTATAATCATTTTTCGGGTAATTTAGATTAATCAAAATATATATAATCAAAATTAATCAGTATTCTTTTCGATGGAAATATATTTTTTGATGTAGTGAAATATTTGAAATAATTYAAGACCATTACATTGCATACTGGACTGAAAGAGTCGAAAGCCATGGAAATAAGTGATAGTAGCAGTTCACTATTGCCAATTTACTTGACAATTAACCTAAATTTATAATTTTGTGTCACTATGTTACTGGTAAAAATCACTTGAACAACAGACCGAGGGATTAGCTAACACAATTGTACAAGACGTTACAATATAGTGCTAGAAATGCTACAAACAGTGATTTGTTATACTAAATTATAGCGAAAACTCTTGAACTTGAAGTTCGTTTATGGATTTTCTCYTAATTTTGTTACAATTTTAACTGAAAAGCGATAAAAATACTTCAAATCAACTATTGTATGAATTAGTTTTCTCTTTCAATATGGCCGACGTCGTCAACCCAAGTTTTGAAATAACGGTAATTAGAATAGGGCCGTACTATGTACTTATTGACTGAGTGGGAGGGCCGTACGGGAAAATATTTGGCTCGAGGTTATGCCGTACGGACCGAGCGCAGCGACAGCGTTTTTTATGTAAAAAAAYGAATAAAAGCGCGCGGAACTTCAAGCCTGGAAAATACGGGTTTGTACGGACCTGTCGCGAAAAGGCGTACGGACCCCATCACGTGACCATTTCCAAAGGTTTCAGTGAGAGCGCGCGTAGGGCCGAAATACGGGTCATATGATAATTGTATTTTTTTTCCATGTTGATTTTTCTTTTCTTTTCCCCTTTCTTTCATCATCTCATTTTAAGAGCGTGAGCCTTGCTTGAAAATACAAATCATATGATCATTTCTAATATGTGATAATTTTGCTTTATAGAATTCACAATGACATCCACGTCACGTGGTCTTTTATGCGTAGTAGTCTTGGTGGTTATAGTTGGTAAGTATATTCTGAAACTATGACACAGTTTATATTCATAAGGGTGTGGTTATTATATCATTGACTCGAAATAATAATAAAAAAAATCAAAGCAAAGAACCCTTTTCAATCCTGCGTGAATCTAACAGAGAATGCCAGAGAATGCTTCCGACTATGCGAAAAACTCAGCTTTTATCATAACGTTTATTTTCATTTGTGTTGCAGATTTATCAAATGCATTAAGTCAAAAAGTTGTTGGTAAGTGCAATAGCATGCGAAGCGACTGAGATCGCCCGCCACATACGTCGCCGTTCAAATTTCTGGTCTTTGCACTTTTAGCCATTACAAAACGTAACAATACCTTCATTTTAGAGTGCGATGGCGTGAAGTTGATTAAAATGGGTTGCTACAAGGATGATCAAAAGAAGCCCCGTCCACTACCAGAGCTGATGTTCACAGATCGTGACGTCAAGGATTCACGTTATAGTGGTGTTCGCATAAACTGGAAGAAATGGGACATATACATGGAGGGTCTAATCTGTAGATGTGCCTGGAAAGCACTAAAGAAGAAGTACAACCTGATTGGTCTACAGCACTACGGTACGTTATTCAATAGGAGCMCAACCACATAGTCCTTATTAGGACCCGCGGGAAAMCTTGTGTCGAAATGCATTTTGGGATTTATMAATGAKAAAAATTTCAGCGGTCCAGTCATAATTATCGCGAGCTTGGTTCTTGGACAAATTATTCGGAAATGTTGGCATTGTAGTTTATCTCAGAATCTTACTTCTGAAAAGGCAAATGTCCAACAGCAAGTACAACAAGAAAGTATAATTTTGACTTGTTTTAAAGAAGACAGAGGATCCGTACATTAATCAATTCAAAATGGCGGYCCTGAACTGTAACAACCATCTGAACAAGTATACTCAAACAAAAACAATTTTTAATAGACACACTAGTATCCAAAAGCTTTTTGAGCTCTTTTGCTCTGACACAAGAACATCACTATCTTTGATTTGAAGCAATCAGAAAACAAAATAAATAAACTTCATATTGTAGGATGTCAAATGATAATTTCAACTTTTACCCCTCCTCTTTGTTCTTCACCGCAGTTTTGTAACACCTTTAGCTCGCGCTACGTAATTTACGCGCGCTGTTTGTAATTTYAAATGTRAGCGCGCTTATTKTATACAACAGTTGTAGAGGAATTGATAAGGTCGAATTTATAAGACGAAATTAGTTTTCCTCAAACAAATATTGTGTTTTCTGTGTGTCAAAGGAGGGGTAAAAGTTGAAATTATCATTTGACATCCTWCAATATAAAGTATAGAAACTCCTTTAAGGTCCGAGTCGGACAAATTTCAAGAAAATAAATAAATAAATAAACATCACAAAAGGCTAAAGATGATTAGTGCCTTGATAATAGAAATATACTTAATTCCTTCAAATTTCAAATCTATTGATCTCTCTGATAATTTTTTTTTGTACTTTGTTGATCAAAGTTCCTTTAATCTCTTTTTCTAGTCCTTGCTTTAATTTTTTTTTCTTATTATAGGGGAGTGTTGGTCCGGCGAAAACAGCAAAACTTCTAACTATCCAAGATCTGGACCTTCTTCATTTTGTATCAACGGGAAAGCCAAAAAGTGCTCACGTGGGGTTGACTGTGTTGGCGAAGATAATACGAACTTTATTTATAGAGTTGTAGACGGTGAGAAGTTTGTTACTTTGACAATCTATATATTCGTTTAGCTTATTTTGTATGTTTTCTGTTATGAATAGTTTGCARTAAAAACCTTACTAATAAAATAATTCTAAATTATGTGAAATGTGTGCGGAATTGTCAAAATTACACTAATTTGCACTGTTTTGCGCTATTTTGCGCTACTTTTTCACTATTTTTGCGCTATTTGTACACTTTGTTGCGCTATTTTGCACTCTTTCTTTTTCACGCWTTTGCACTCTAATTAAAAAGAAAAACAAATAAAACAACAACAATAAGCAAACAAACAAACAAACAAAAACAAAAACAAAACAAAAACACACAAAAAAAACGAAAACACTACTTCATAWTTTAAAACTGCCGCTAGGAAKAGTCATGTTAAAAACTGAATAAAAATATTTGTCAATATCCTAGAAAAAACTCAGACGTTTCGGTCAGAACTTTGACCTACTACTACTYTGTTTATGTGAAGATAAAAAAAACAAAACAATCAAACTGTACATGTATCAGTTTTATGTTGATTATAAAAACACACAAAAAAACGAAAACACTACTTTATATTTTAAAACTGCCGCTAGGAAGAGTCATGTTGTCATGACGTTTCGGTCAGAACTTTGACCTACTACTACTTTGTTGATGTGAATATATATAAAAAACAATCAAACGATACATGTATCAGTTTTACTGTCTGTTTTTTACTATTGATTTTATTGCCTGTATTAAATAAATCATCAATAGTAATTTATTTATTCTCATTAGATGACCCAAAGCCTACACCAAGGCCAACTCAACGACCGTCAACCCCCCGCCCAACAAAACCACCTACACCCAAACCAACACCTCCATCCACCCCAGCAACCACACCTAAACGACCAACCACCCCACCCCAGTTTCCTACAACTGGGGGATCAGGCACTAGTACTGCTCGACCAAAACCACAACCGACTCAAGCTCCAGCCCCATGTGTTTCATCAGTACCTGCTGCAATGGGCTGCCAACAACCAGTACCTCAGTGCCTCTATCCACCATGTATGCAGGCACCTCCGGTAGTACCTCAAATGATACCTGCTGTTCATCCCAATGCTAATGGTTGTGGAAAATCTGGTGTCCCTTGCCCTGGTAAAGAAAAAGACCACAAACTTCCATCCTTGGATGATTCCACTGAAGAAGATTTCGATGATGATGATGATGATGATGATGATGATAGAAACAGCTCATGATAAACGATTTTATTCAGCTGTTCGAACAGAATATATATTAACTAGACGATCAGCGATCGTTTACATGGGCTTCCTGTGGTATATTACAATCAGTAAATGATATCGAACCCTAATGAAATTAATATTACTAAGACAACAGCAAAAAAAGATTTCCTTTAATGAAAAATAATCAAACAAGCAATGTACTTAGAAGAATTTAATAATATTGTGAAAGAAGTAATGTATGTTCGACGAGCCGTTACTTTTAAGAGTCGCATCCTTGGCTGTATTGTTAAAACACAGATCGATAGTCTGTCATGTTCTTCGCTTAAAATACTTCGAATCCTCTGTTTTTCCTCAGTATAAATCTGTTGACATGTCTTAGATAAGTCCTTGGTGATTGTAGAGCCAAATGCCCTATATATGTCTTGATATATGTCTTGTTGAATTTTAATGGAGGCGGAATCTTTAGAGATTTGTAATATAAGTTGAGTACAGTAGAATCYGTGTGGTCTGTCCAATGATAGTACTGGAAATGTTCTGCTGTGAAGACAGGAATGTGGATTTCCAGACGTTGTGGACATTCATCAATTCCAGCTTCAAGTATCKGGACAGAACATGGAAAGTTGTAGATGATTAAAGGTGAAAGTCAGATTTTCAGTTCATTGGTTGAGTTCTTGAAAGTAACTATTTGGTCTGTAAGACTGAGGAAGTATCGACCTCCAACATGAACAAATGGGTGGAGAYTAGTACAATCACTTTCGCTACGATGGAGACGACCAAATGGAACTTTTGATCTTGGKTGCCATGGTAGGCCAAGCCATTCGACGTCTCGGACGTTTCTAAGGACGTGTGAAGGACATAACAGGTTGACGTGATCTTTAAAACATTTTGAAAGTTCGTTAACTGTAATGACTGATCTGGAGTCTGGGCATATAATTAAAGCAAGTCCTTCATGTTCGACTGGTCCAGTGTAGCATTGGTTAGTAACATTATACACAGGCGGTTCCAGATATTCAATGGAGMAGAAGAGTCGGTCATCAGAAATTTGTAGTACTGTGAGTAGAATGTTCATAATGAGTTGTTCCTCTGTGTAGTTAAAATCGATCATAGGTTTTACGAGTACTGATGCTCCGGCATCTAAGGCTTGTACTGTATACTGCATTGAAGGGTCGGCTGTCAACTGTTGCGAAATTTGCTTGGATAGGAATGTGGGAAGGGAAG